CCCCAAAACCCCAAAACCCCAAAACCCCAAAACCCCAAAACCCCAAAACCCCATATTATTATAAATATATTGGTAAAATATTATAATTATAATTTAGGAGTTGACTCGTAAGTATGGCTTCTTGTCTATCTTAGCAATTGTTCTCTATTCATTACTAACTCCTTCATAGATAATGATTAGCGGTTACAAATTGATGCTCAGAAAAGGATGCGAAAGAAGGTTGATGAACTGGATCGGAGCCAGAAATATCCATACTCGTAGGTCATTGAAAGAATATATCTCATAATTTTAGAGGCTACACATCAAGAGGAGAATAATGCTGTCCAACTTAGAGGAAAGTTACTCCACTCTACTCAAAGAGATGCTCCAAATTTGATTTGGCTGCCAGATTTATTGGAGCCAGCTGAAAATTTTGAGGAATTTTTCACAAGGCCAAATAATAAAGTATTGAAGGTCAGGAATGTCCATTTGTTGAACTACAGAAACTTTGGAAGCTCTGATCATCATGATTCATTTGAGATGAGAGACTTGGCAGAAGATATTGTTAGGTATATGGATGATAACAAAATTACCTTGGCTACTATTGGAGGTCATGGATTTGGTGCAAAGGTTGCTACAGCTACTGCTATTGATAACTTGGATAGATTTACTGGAGTTATGTGATTAGATGGAGGTCCAGTTGACCAGAAATTCCACCCAGCTTATACTCAACTCAAGAATTATGTCCTTGAACTATCAAAATTGGAAATGAATAAAATGACTAAAGGAGAAGTTGAAAAGAAAATCGATGCTATTGTAGATGATCCTAACTGGAACAGAATTATTAAGCAGAATCTTCAAATTCATAGAGAAGTCCCAGAGTTCGACTTCAACCTTGAAGGACTTGCTAAAAACATGAAAAAGAGAAATCCAGATGTAGCAAGATGGTGCGAAAGTTATGGATTATGGCCAGGAAGAACATGGGCACTTTTCGCCTCTTACTCTCATTGGATTCACTTATCTACGAATACCTTGCCATTCTATAATGTGTTCCCAAGACTTCAAGGACAATTCCCATCAAATGATTTCAATATCTTTGGAAATGATGAGTCTCCAAGTAACCATTGGATGCATCAGTCAGAAGATGAATCTGAGTCATTCCATCTAAGTAATAGAATGTGGAGATGGTTGAGAAACAAAGATGGTGTGCATGTCCTCCACAATGATAGAACTGAGATTGGAACATACTTGCCTGATAGAGGAACTGATGCCAGCGTAGGAACCGGCCAAGGAGAGTACACTCCAGAGCATGTTCATCACAACTATCGTTACACAAGTAAGTTGGATTTATTTTCAGAGTCTTCTTGGGTCTGCTCCGAAGGATTTTGCTTCCAGACTTTCTTTGACTTTTCTTTCGAGTTTGAGTCCAAACTGGAAACTTAGCAATTATTTATAGATGTATACGAGAAGAGCAGAGAGTTGAGAGGTGTTGAAGGAGCCAAGCCAGGACAGTTCTTAGAGAAAGGATCGTGGAGCCCAGAATCCAAGTGGTAAATACATCAATGAATTTGATCAATATTGATAAATAATTAAGGGGTTTTGGGGTTTTGGGGTTTTGGGGTTTTGGGGTTTTGGGGTT